TGGAAACCTGGGAGCACTGGACGGCCGTTTTGTCTTATTGTGGGACTCCTTAGCAGTGCGTATTCACGATCACGCTCGTGGGACTCGAACCCAGGGCCTTCAGTCTCGCGCGCGAACGTTTAGTCTACTGGGTCGCTGAGCCGGTATTCATTGGTGTTAGTGTCTGACATCAACCAATCCCGCGAGCGGGATAGTGGATGCGCACTGTTAAGGAGTCCCACAATAAGACAAAACGGCTGTCCAATGCTTCCAGGTTTTCAACGGTGGTCTAACATCAATCGATTCATGATCTCAATCAAAAACTTAATAATCTCCACAACCCCTATACTGAGAATTACGTTTGATTGAATTTTACCTTTATGTTATGAATCCTAATAATTACCTCATAACTAGTTACATCTTGTTTATTAGGGTAATAATATTAATTAAACATTCAAATCATTTAAGTTCAAGTTTCGTTTTATTTTTCAATGGGTAAAATGGAATGAAATTTGGAGTGTTTTAACATTAATTAAGGAAACAAGGTTACTGGATCAAGATGTCTGCAGTAATAATAATAATAATAATAATAATAATAATAATAATAATAATAATAATAATAATAATAATATTGATCAACTAACCGAAGACTTAATTATTGTGTATCTATGTGGATGGCTGTGTGTGTAGATGATGTGCCTGTGCGGCCTTCACTGTGCACATCTATCTATCTATCTACCTATCTATCTATCTATCTATCAAGTTATATGTAGCCAAGTTTCTTCCATTTGGTTAAATTCATGATACATGTATATGATATTGTATGATTCATCTAAACAGAAAAAGAAAGAAACAACACAGATTACATGTAGTAATATGCTGTTTATTATCAAGTGGTTATAAGGATGGGTTAATTAGTTTAATAAAAATAATGAAAATTTTCCGGTGTTATTCAAGATCATTAAACACACTGAATAGTGATGATAATAGTACTTAATTACTTAGTTATGCCTGTTAACCCTCATCGAGGAGCATAGACTGTCTACCAGCACTCACCATCGAACTCTTTCATCGATAATTCTTTCCACTTGTTTCAAGTTGATATTTATCCTTTTCATGTCTGATTCCAATTCTCCACGTTGTGTGTGCATTCTTCCACATTCGTCTTTTCAATTTCCTTTTCACCATTCCAAGTAGTAAGGGCTTGCTTCATGATGCAGTTTAGTGATTTGTGTAATGTATACCCTCTCCAGCAAATCCATAGTCTCTTCCTAATTTCCTCGTCATCTGGAAGCTCGTTTGTTACCTCACACTGTAGGATGTTGCTGATTGCTTCTCGTCAAGAACGGACATTGAGTATCTCGCATGGACAACTGTTTATGAATACTTGTACCTTCTTGATGATTGTTGTATTAGTTCTCCAAGTTTCAGCTCCATACAGTAGAACTGACTGTATTGATGTTCACATTGAAGATTATGACTTTGATACTGGTTGAAAAGACAGTTTTCTTTGAGTTGCATATGTTGTTTGTTCAACTGTAGGAATGCTGTTCTCGCTTTGCCAATCCTTGCATTTACGTCTGCATCCGATCCTCCTTGTTCATCGATGATATAGCTGATCACTAAATCCGTGAAAGATTCCACATCTTCGAGAGCTCGTCTATCAAGTGTGATTGGGTTGGTGTTCTCCGTGTTGTACTTGAGGACCTTGGTTTTCCTCTTGTGTATGATGAGGCCTATCTATGCAGATACTGCTGCTACACTGGCTGTCTTTATCCGCATTTGTTCGTTTGTATGGGACAGGAGGGCTAGGTCATCTGCGAAGTCCAAATCATCTAATTGATTCTGAGCTGTCCATTGTATTCTGTGTTTTCCTTCAGATGTCGAGGTCTTCATAATCTATTCGACTACCAGAAGAAAGAGGAAGGGGGAGGGTAGACACCTTCGTCTGATACCAGATACCAGAAAACAAAACAGTTGGTCAGCAATATATCAGTCATTTTTTAGATGATAAATATACTCAATTTCATACAAAGTATCTGACACAAAATAAACATGATTAAAACGTATTCAAAGCATAAATGATTATTCGATTCTGGTTTTTAAGGTGACTTAGATACCAATAAATTTAAGTCCTTATAATTATTCTCATTCATTGATTATTATATCACTGTGTATATATCTCGGTTCTACTGAGAAGTCAGTTATATTCTGCCTCTGGCTGAGTCAACTCATATACTCATTGAACATAAATAGTTTACATAAGTTTCTGTTCAACAATCGAGAATAATGAGTTGTTAATCTGAATCTAGTATTTGATAATCTCGTTTAGTTCATTATCAATTACACTATCTACATTCTATTTGTAAAATAAATCTTTTCTTTCTAAGCATACTTTATAACTTCAAAAAGACATTGTACTAGAGATAATGTCCAATAAGATGTAAATAGTCCAATTTCACACTAATTATAGTCACTTATAAGTCAACAATATAACGTTTTTCTAGTTCCTAATGATGATCTAATTATATTAATCAAACTGAAATGTAGTCAACAGTCTGAAGGAATTGACACCATGGTATAATTAACCAGATATTTTGTATCATAGTATATTAAGTAAATTGGTGAATTTGGATTTCCATATCACAAACTGATTTTGTTCAAATGATCTTTGAAACCAGGTTACATAGGTTAGTTATTTCTTCCTGGTATTACATGATGTGTCGAGCTTAGGATATGCAGGACTCATGATGAGAACTTAACTTTCAGATCACTGGATTACAATATAACGGTTCATATTTTTAACTCCAATCTATCTGTGATATTGTACATTCACCATATAGTGTGAAGCAGTGACCAATGGAGTTTAACCATATACATGAGATAAATGTCAACAGTGTTAGTGTGCGATGGTCACTAAATATTCCAAATTCATTGAAGTCAAAACTATGTCATTAGATACCTGAACAATGGTTCAAAGGCCAGACATTCGCTAAAAGGCCTGAATTTCCTAGGTTTGATCCCTGATGTGGTCATGGATGTGAGCTAATGAGAAGGTCAACACCAGGAATTAAAAGCTGTTTATTTCTTCTAGGTTTTCAATTAGATATTATGTAGTTAAATGCAGTCGTTTGGACTCATAAATCTATGATTTCGTGTACGTTCAGTAGTTGTTAGAAAACTTGTCTATAATTCTGATCAAACTGATGTTCAAAACCAAGTATCTATCAACTGATTTATAACGAAATTTATTTATGGTACGTTTCGAGTATCGAATTTCATATATTTGTTAATATTTTAAATGATATAATGCTTTGTTTGTGCTTTTATAAAGATCTTATACAACTTAAGTGAAGTTTTCATCATAATCATACATATATTGTAGAAATTATCAAACTGAATAGTGAAGGGAAACAGAAATGAGTAAGACCAAAACAACACACTACATCGAGAATTGTAAGCAGACATGAAAAAGGATGAATAACAACTAGAAAGAATTAGAAAAGATTGTTCAGGATAAAGTTGGATAACAGTGGCCTATACTCCTCCACGTAGAGTAACAAGTGTAAGTATGTACATTTCATCATAATCTCAAGGAAAAAAAAGTGAACAATTGTTTTATCTTAGAGATTAATCAAGAAACTAAACTGTCAATTACTACAAAATACCATTTATAACTTATAATTGATAATAATACCCATAGAGATTACTGAGTTTCACTCAATTTATAGTAAAGCACAATTTTTTTCCAATTATTATCTTAGTTGTAAGCAATGATGGATAATGGCTAGCAGCATTTCGTCCTATTTGAGACTCGTCAGCTGGATGTACCTGCATCTCAGAGTTGATGTTCACTCTGGGACTCGAACCCAGTACTATTCACATCAAACGCCATCGTATTATCCACTCAGCTACTGCATACTGACAGCCAACATCATTGCTTACAAATAGCTTGTAAATTAAGGTAATATCGAGGCATACGCACAATGTGCACATATGCCAATAACAGACTGATCAATTGCAGTCTTAAACCTCAATGGGAAGATACAAGCCAAACAATACCAAGTAAACTTAATTACATTTTCTTTCATATTTTGTTCATTATTCAGATAGATAGATAGATTTTTTTGTTTTTATTTGTCATCGACCAGTAATCATAACAAAATACTTTGGCTCTCATGTTTGTTTTTCCTATCTTTATTGATTTCATTATAAAATGATTGGAAACATTTTACACAATGCATATGAATGCAACTACAAAAACAACTGTTTGCACATATTATGTATATACGCTATATACATACATTGGTATAAATGTGCTTCCTCAACACACACACACACACTCACTCTATTTTCTTCCCATAATTTCTCCATCTATCTCACTTTTTTTCATGCACATGTGCATAGTATTTAAAATGTTCATATTGATTTTCTTTCCCTACATGTTTTATCAGACAAAACAATCAGTGTTAGTCAACCTAGTAACATATTTGTATATAGGATACAAAATCTCATATATGCATATACATAAAGAAGGCATCTATGTCGATTTCTACAAGTCTCTTTATGATGAAAGCATACATATACGTACACACACACATACATACATACATACATACATAGACATTTGTGCCGGTTGTAATACCCTAACTATAACACTAATTACACTAACAATAACAAACTAATCATAATAATGACGACGACGACGACTACAATGACTATACTGATAGAAGTTACGGATTGCATAAATAAACAGTAAAGATTGGTTCTAAATTATGCATCATATTAAATACGAAAAAAATACAAAAATACAAAAAAAATACAAATAAAAATAAATAAATAAATGCCTCATTCCAAGAAAGTACCAATATCAAAACTTCAATTCAATTTTCACCTAGTTACTAAGTCATAATAATAATAATAATCATGTATCTAACTTAACTCTTGTTTCTATGCATTTCAATAAAATCGCGCGAAAATTTTTTTAAAAAATTGAATTTCAACATTTTAACTAATTCAAAATGATCAATTATCAATATTGTCAATATTTAATAAAATTTGGATTTATTTTTATGATCATATTGAATAATGATCTAATTATTACATGTCAACAATCAATTCATAATGATTATGATCTAAATGATCAAATAAATCATGAATTCAATAAATATGATATATTAACATCGAATTTAATAAATATACAAAAGAAACCATATAATTTAACATTAATTAATATACAAGATTCAATACCAATATCAGCTATATCATTAGCTATTGTATTTGATTCAACTGGTTCTATGGGTAATGATTTAAAACAAGTGAAAATTGGTTCAAGACGTATATTACAAAGACATTTACAACGTGGTGAATCAAATTATATAAAAGATTTTGTTTTAGTTAAAGTACATGATCCAGGTAAGTTAGAATATATATATATAATTTTAATTTAATGTCTATTATTATTATTATTATTAGCTTTATTCAATATTATAATTTTGGTACAATATAGAATTCTCAGCGCAAAGTATTTCAACAAGTTTCCGTTTCTTTCTTCTTGGTCGGTCCTGGTGATAAATATTGAGTGATCGCCAGTTAGATGTTAGCAGTTCAGGAATGGATAACTGAATAATGTACATTCTTTTCGTTGTACATTGCCAGCAACCATTATTGTCTCTTATTGAGTTTTTTGTAACTTTGACAACGAAAGGTTGTACACTTTTCAGAAACGCAGCAGAATAGGTTATGCGATTAATAAACATAATGATATATTAAAACAAACAACAATAGATAACTTGTTGAAATATCTAGATGGCAGGAACAGGTAGCCCAGATGCTCAAGCAGGCCGCCCCTATAAATTGTTAATAATTAATGCCTTCAAATATCCTGGTATGGTTGAGGGTAGAGAGAGAGAGAAAGAGAGAGAGAGTCTAGTATCCCTTTTGAAATGTTCTCATATGGCTATGTATATATAGCCATTGCTTCAAAAGTATAGTTTACAAAATTGAGAGTACGAAAAGCTAATGTCCGACACTTTAACCGGATTGTTCGGTATAAAGGGTCCATCTAGAGGAGATGGGAAACCCTGGGAAATCAGGATAAAAATGACTACAATGAGATTTCATCTCCTGACGTTACTCTACTACCTTATAGATCAAATCTTTAGGTCGAAAGCTCCGGATATGATCCTTTAAGAAAACGACCTGCTTCAGTCTGAATAATTACAAAACACGATTGGAATCAACTTATTTCTATCTTATCATTATTCATACAACTAGATTATAACTGATCATTCATAAAAGTCAAATTCATCTGACCAAAATAAAATCTATACCACTATTGTTTAGATACAATTGACTTCAATTGCTAGTGCGGGACTCCTCAGCAGTGCACATCCACGATCCCGCACCCCGCGAGATTCGAACCCATTATTATTATGATTATTGTCTCCTCCCCCCTTATTTCCAATCTAATTGGCCTTCTATTTTATAATATCCACTGAGATTTGAACAACTTGAATAAAAAGTCTCAATAATCAATGTATTTACATGTTGATTCTTTAATATTCACTTAAATTAACTGAACTGAAATGAACATCTACTTGATTATTGTGATTTCCATTGAGACTTGAATTAAGTGTATTCATCACTTGAACTATATCACAGATTCATTTAAGCAAGATATTAAAGTTAACTTTCTGTTTTCCTACTTCTGGGTATTATGCAAAATAGAATAACAATGATTATTTAAAAGAAAAAGTCTATTATTCAGTAATATACAATGAGTTGAATAAAAATAAAATGATAATAATGAGAGTAAGTTTGTAACCATATTACTATATTAGGTAATAGCTTTCACAAACATTGGATAATTAAAGAGGGATTTTTGTGGATATTATACTAATTTTAATAGTTGAATTCATAAGTCATTTGAAGCTAGACCACCATGAAAAACCTGGAAGCATTGAACAAACGTTTTGTCTTAGTGGTTTATGTTTAGTCAATTAGAATATTGGATTGTATCACCTTAATATACTGAAATATTAATAGTATTTAGAGATTTGCTACAAATAGCACATTATTATACCATAGAAATGTTTTGTAAGCAAACATGGATGGTGACTAACAATGGAATACAGGACTCGTGTTCTGTTCTATTTGGAATTCGTTGGTTGGATGTACCTGCATCACGCTGGGATTTGAATCCAGTACCGTTCGCTTTAAACACTATCGCTTTATTCACTGAGTCCATATATCCACCAGCTTGTGCAATGAGAGAAGTTTAGATTCATTTTTTATCGGTTGTTTGAATCTTTCCATTAATGTTTGAGACTACAATCCGTACAGAATGAACATATGCTAATAAGAGATTGATCAATACAAAATGAATATAAATGCTTTATTTTCACATTTACTATGAGTCAGCAGAATTCTAATTTTTCCCTGGAAAACTATTTGATAAGTAGTGCAAATATTTCCGAACTACTTCATCTTTCAATAGTTGAAATCATGAGCTAGACCACAATAGAAAACCTGAAAGCACTAGACAGCCGTTTCTTCCTATTGCGAGACTCCTCAGCAGTGAGTATTCACGACCCCGCCCCGCGGGATTGGAACCCAGGACCTATCAGTCTCGCACGCGAGCACCTAACCACTAAACCACTGAGCCGGCCGTCATCCAACGGTATTAATATCTTACTTCAACTAATCCACGAAATTGAGTGACATATTCAACATTGTCATAACCATTTCATATAATGTACTATATGGGAAAATCAGATTTATTTATTGTTTTCACTTAAAGTTTTCGTTTAATCATGTCACTGAGGTCTAGTTTTTAAATCATTGATTACATCTCTTTTTCTGTAATATAAAGACAATAAAATAGAGGAATTACAAATATGAATTGATAACATAGAAAAATAGAGAGTGTTGAATGAATGTTTATAATTTGATGGTTGAATCCTGACTTTACTATGTTTGTTACTAAAATTTAATACAGTAATGATTATAAATAGTTCAGTTTTAAAAAAGAAAACATTTTTCATACAACGTACTAATCTACTTATAAGCTACTTATTATTAAACAATAACTACTTACTTACTTATTTACTTACGCCTGTTACTCCTAATGGAACATAGGCCGCCGACCAGCATTCTCCAACACACTCTTTCCTGGGCTTTCTTTTCTAGTTCCATCCAATTCTTGTTCATTTTTATCATGTCTGTCTTCATTTCTCATCGTAATGTGTACTTTGGTATTCCTCTCCTCCTCCTTTGGTCTTGCAGATACCAAGTGAGGGCTTGACTTGTGACTCAGTTGCATGCTTTCCTCAATGTGTGTCTTATCCACTTCTAACGCTTCTTCTTAATATCTTCCTCCGCTGAGATCTAGTTTGTTCTCTCTCATAATAGATTGTTGATAATAGTGTCAATAACTAAGTTATGTAATACTTTGCAATGTGATGTAAATAGAAAGTAACTAATAACTAGTAGAAATTTGTTACTTCACTAAAAAAGCGGACGATATTTGAATGAAGAAAAAGTAGTCTATATTTAATGTATACAACGGTCTAGACAGAAGAAAAAATAAAGGTGGTATAACTACTTTTATGTATCAAATCGAATTTATGTAATGATCTTAAATGATAATGTAAAAAATAGTCTATGAGGGAGGGGTAAAGTAATTTCCTGAAATTTTTAGTGAGTTCAATCCGTGTGGGGTGGAGACAGTTATGCACTTCAGACCACCATCAGAAGGATTGTGCAAAATCATGGATCGACTGAGGTTAGACATTAACACCGTTAGATGTTGAGTTACTGATTTAGAGGTTAAGCGTCTGGTCGTAAGAGAGAAGATCCTGGCTTCTAGTCCCACATGTGGTATTGTGAATGAACACTGCCAATGAGCCCCATATTAGGACGAAACGACTGTCCAGTGTTGCAGGATTTTCAGTGATAGTCTAACTTAGATTTACTCATGGATTTAACTACTAGAATTGTAGAAGTTAATTAATTAACAAAACTCCATCAATATCATCTATCTAAGCTACAAATCTTCTCTACCATCTCAAAAAGGAGGTGATTCTTTGGGAATTCAGTGTGTATATCTTTTTGTACTTTAACTAAGCACTTGTGTTATAATGTTTTTATATTGTCCTAATTGACAGCTATTTAACTCCGTAACTGTTGCTGCATCTCTTACCAGTCGTAAATAACAGTAAATAAATTATGAAGCGTTTACTCAGTTTGTATCTTTTTTGGTATTCTGATTGATACTTTAAGGAATCGATATTGCATGGGTTACCGATTGTTTTGGAATATACAGTTAGTAATGTTAAGGGATTAATATTTAGTGAGGGCAAGTAGGAAAAAATCATAACATTGTTAGTGTAATGTAGCCAAAATTCAACACACTTATCTAGTCATTCAATCCAATGTTTTGAATAATTATAAAAAAGATTTTGATGGGATTATGAAATTAGAAGTGATCAGGTGGTATGATAATGATCCTGTTAAATAAATTATAATTTAATGGTTGAATTCATGAGCTAGATTATCATGTAAAAACCTGAAAGCACTGGATGGCTGTGTTCGTCCTCAACAGTGCGCACCCACGATCCCACTCGCGGGATTCGAACCCAGGACCTATCGGTCTCATGCACTGCTGAGGAGTCCCATACTAAGATGAAACAGCTGTCCAGTGCTTCTAGGTTTTCCATGGTGGTCTAGCTTCAATTAACTTAAGATCTCAGCTGTTGAAATTACTACAATCTCGACAAAACCCTCTCTGATACTAATCAACATGTGCTCACTAGTGACTGGCTTCAGGAGGTATATCCTGGAGTTCTAGTGAGAAGCGGTGACCAGTGGAGTTCAACTGGGTCAGTTGTTAGATAGTGACTCACTGATGACAATGGTGGATTTGTCGCTCAGTTTCGTGGATTAGTTGAGGCTAGACATTAACATCGTTGAATGGCGGCCGGCTCAGCGGTCTAGGTGTTTAAGCACCTGGCGCGAGGCTGATAGGTCTTGGGTTCGAGTCCCACGAGGCGGGATCGTGGTTGTACACTGCTGATGAGTCCCACGCTAGGAGGAAACGGTATTTGAGTGCTTCCGGGTTTTCCATGGTGGTCTAGCTTTAATTCACTCATGAATTCAATCATTAAATTCCTAAAATCTTCACAAAACCCCTTTCTGATAAATTATAATTTGTTGGTTATAACTAATTTGTTTAAATTCATTCTGTGAATAGTATATTGAATTTTCCCACGAACAAATAAGTGACTAACAATCATAATAATAATACCGAATATCAAGGAATTTTCATGTAGCCTACAAGAACTCAATTGCAGTCTGATTAGTTAATAATCAACCTCTTCGAATAATAACACTAGGTTAGATGGTTTTCAATTTCA